TCTATGATAGATCAATTTGGAAGTTCATCAAAATTCATTTAAATGAAACGAACAACACGAAGCTTATCTCGATTTCAATAAATACGGTGCAAAACACCTATGTATGTACCGCGGAACACATGAACGAACAGGAAAAAAAAGATGAGAGAAATACCATGCCACTATGAAATTCGTGTAACATGTAATTTAGCATTAAATCATTGAGAGCAGCGCGATTCAGTGAACTAACTAAAATGCCATTAGAGAGTGAGCAAGAGAAAGAGCGCAAGAGAATAAGTAACATGAAAAAGGGAATCAATGAGAATTTAAACCAAAAGAGAGCTATTTATTAAACGTTATTTCCTCTGTTATGCCATGACCTTTGTCCGAATATGTAATTTCCATGTATTATGGAAAGTGCATAAAACGCATAAATCATGCTCTGCATGTCTATCAGCTAGGGCCGTACGCATCATACACACACAGACACAGACACACAGAGAGAGAGAGAACGAGCGTAGTTCATTTAAAGTATATCCTTTTTGAATCGTTTAATTATCCCTTTTTCGGAATGAATTGGTCTGTGCGAATGGTTTTTCATTGAAAATTCACGCTTCGATAACATGAACCGACCATCTTTCCCTTTAACATGGTTATACTGTTGAAAAATTAAATAAACAAAATAAAATAAATTGCTGCTTGTTTAATTCGTAGCACATGTAATGTGTGCGCTTGTGTCACATTCCCATGAAAAGTAAAATACAAGATTGCAGCGTAGCAACAACACTTCGTTCAGTGCACACTGTGCATCGTCATTAATTGAATATAAACAATTATACCTGTTAATTTTCAATTTATGAGAACATGCGAATTGTGGTGTTGCACATCGCGTTGTGATAAGCCTTTAAATGTGCAATTACATTCCAATATATCAGAAAAATGATGAAAACGCAACAGCGTTGGGAGGCCAAACGGAATGTGTGTGCGAGAGAGAGAGAGAGAGAGAGAGAGAGCAAGAGAAAAATAGATAGACCCTTTCGATGGCCTTCTTCATTCAATCTGCGCGCTCGCATTAATGCCATCCATTGCAGCCCATAATAATTTCAGCGATATTTGTTGATTTATACAATCTCATAAAATATGAGATTTGGCTCGATGGCGTGAGCAAGAATAACGCGTTCTTTAGAACCATTAGTTTTGTGCTTGTCGAAAGAGGAGTGCATGTGAACTGGTCTCTCACACACAGTTCGGTTCTCGTCTTCTTTCTTTCTCGTTTCCACTCCATTGCATCCGTCTCCATTGTACGGCCGCTACGATTCAATTTGATGTTTTGCTTTTTATTTATTACATAACTTCTGAATTCTGAACGCAACACGAAGAAATTTAATAAACTGATGCCAGCCTACGTTCACGCGCTTGCACTTTTTCTTCGGCAAAATGTGCACCTTTGAACTTTTAAGCATAAATCTGTTTGATTATGTTTCGCGTGAAGCTGCTTATTTTACTTGATTTTCGTTTTCGTCATAGGTCGGCCGGCCTGGAATAGAGAGAGAGAGAGAGATATTGTGCGCGCGAGCTGCAACAAGAACTACGGCAACGATAACATTTTGAATGATGTGCTGCTATATTCGAATGGCTTCGACATACCTGATACGTACGCTTGATTTTTTTTCCTTTCGAAGCCGTATCGTCTTTCCCTTTTCACATTGTTGTTTAAACAGTAAAATGAAATCTATTAATTTCCCTGACCTTTCCATACAGAGTTCTCATTATTAAATGGGGAGTTATTTTCTATCGATGTTCACCTTTCTTCGATATCAGAAATATTCCACTATTCGATCTTGCATTTTTATCTTCATCAAAAATAATTTTGCAATTTTCGATTCATGGACTCTGTGTCGTACCTTCTTCGACTTTCCAAACATGAACAAAAAATATGCTCAGCAGTGTGGCGATGCAGTGATTGTCTCATCATATTTTCATTTCATAAATGGATTCGACGTTTGTAGCTAATGAACAAATTCTCTCTCGATTTCAAGTGCACGTAAAACCCGTGTCGCTCGCCCAACGCGATAGACAACACGAATCGCTTGCGCTTTAACCTTTTCACTAAAAACTCCGTGGAAAATTGTAGAAATAAAATGGAAAGTGATCATTATAAATAGATTTTGGGAAGTGCGTGTCTTGTGTGACCAATCGTCAGTACTTTTCTCCACACACACAAAAACGGTTCTGATGAGAAATTCTTCAATGTCGCGAAATATCTTTGACTGAACAACGAAAAATCTATTCACGTCTTTGAAATACTGTCAATATGCTTTCTTTTCTTTCTCCTATTTTCTTCTGACATTCTTAAGTTAAGTTTTAATTGTTTACGTTTTTTTTTATTCCACCGGTTTTAACCGGTGAAAAACCGTTACCGTCATTTTATGGTTGACTCGGAGCGATTGCTATCTCTGGTTAATTTCCAAACGTCGTCGAATCGATTAACAGTCATTTTGAAATATATGCAAATAAATGTGTGATTGACAAGTTGATTCGTAGCAAAATTATTGCATTTGGCCTCATGTGAACTGATTTTTTACGGAACCATTTTGTGAAAAGAGAAAGAGAGTTTGATCCACACTGCTCTTTTTCAATGCACTTTGAATTTCAACGTTTCAAATGAAAACTGTAAATCAAGTGTTGCTGACTCTTTTCGACGTTGTTTGATTGATTAGAGGCTCGAAAATTGTATTTCAAGTTTGTGTGCGCTTTAAAATCACTCAGCATTTGGATTTAAAATAGTGAGCCACAGAGAGAAAGAGAGCATAGAGAAAGGGAGGGACATCAAGAGTGAGTGAGAAAGTGGGAGAGTAGAAAAAAAAAGCGCACGCTTGTGTATTGATTTATCGTTCGTGTCCCAAGAAGAACCACGACATCCAAAAAGATTGATATACAGTGGTTCAGTTGAAGTTCAAGTGTGTGGCTGCTAGAGCATTGCGATCGATTGGGCTAGGTTCTTCTCGGATTGTTTGTTCATAGGTAGTCGAGTGCTTCAATTGTTTAGATTTTTTTGTTTTTTTTCGTAATCTTTGCCTTGTGCTTCAATAAAAATCATTTATCTTCGACAAATTATCGAATTTTCTCGCTCTCTAGCTAACCAGCTCGATGTGTGTGAATATTTTAACTTCGACTACTCAAGGAAATTATATCAACTATGGTATCTGGTGAGTTGTTTGAACGGTGAACATTGCCGAGCATTTCTCATTTACCGCTCTTTGTTCGACATTTTTGGTTAGATTCGCGTTTTTTCGTCGGTGATCTTTTTTTTCTCTCTCTCTCTCTCTGATCTCGCGCTCGTTTGCTCGAGCTCGTTTCTTCATTTTTATATCTGCGCTATGCGCATTGTTTTCCCATATTCTATTCAATCCTAGTAGTGTGATTTCATTGATGTTTGTTCCATTGGCATTGCCATTGCCCTGACTCTGGCTGCCTGTGTTCCGTTGATCAGTCGGCCGTTCATCGACCTTTTTTGTGTTTATGCACACTTTGAGATGAGTTGAATGTATATCAAATATAAATAAGTAATAGCTTATTAAAAACAAGAGCACAAATACCATTTCGGCTAACAAACAACACAATGCGAGTATGGCGGAGGTAAAAAAGCCAAACATATAAAGTGTTTTTTTAAGTTTCTTCGCTTCTTAGAATTAGACGGATGCTAAAATAAATACGAAACCATGGAAAATAATCACAGCCGATATATAAAAAAAAGCACACATGTGCCTCAGCGCCGATTTGTAAGCCGATATTTTCGTTCGTTCGCTCTTTCATTCGTTTATTCGAATAGAACTCGTGGTCATTTTACCATTTCTTTATAAATTAATTGTGGCCAGCACTTCTTAAAGGCCCTATTGATTCGCATCGACGGAAACATGTGAATGAGATGAGATGAGATGCCCTTCAACTTCAACCGTTATTGTGATACCGACTATGACAAGCACAATAATTGTTATTTGGTATTCACAAAATCAACGTGAACAATCAATTGCATCATCATCAAAGGGCCAAGAGCAACAGCAGTATCAACATCAGCATCGGCAGCGGCGGCAGCAGCAGCACCAATCGTATAATTACCATGTGAATAAAAACTGCTCTGAGCCACCGTACACGCAATCCTAAATCGAAAGACATTAGATTCGAAATGGAAAAAAAAGCTATGAAATCATTAAAGCGATACACGTAGTTCCGTTCGCCACCGACGAATCACAAATTTCCGTTACAAATCATAATCAGAAGAGAGGAAAAAATATACATAATACCAAGCAACCGAACAATTGAGCTTATCGAATTTTTGTGCGAGATGCTTGTGATCGGTGTACTGCGTAGCGTTTTGATCAACCATCGCTAGTATGCTGCATAATATTAAACGCACCCATTCATTTTTCATTGTTTTCAAATTCCGCGCGAAAAAAATCATATTAGGTTCCCATTAAGAATGGATACGTTTAGTATTATGTGACTTGTCGCTGTTGTGCATTTACGTTTGACACTAGCAGTCGTAGGTTTTGATTATGCGCACCGCACGGTTTAATCCACGGAGAGAATCAAGACGACGAGAAATAAATATGTTCTGATGTGGTGGGCCTAGTATTATTGTCGTTAGTTTTCCAAATTACCGGAGCGTTTGATGCTATGGCAAAGTATATGTATGTCGATAATCAAGCAAATCCACAAGACGAGAAAAAAAACCGAAACGAGAAGAGAAAAGGAAAATATATAATTTTTTTGGCCGCTTATTCGTTCGTTTCATACAATTGAAACGGCCGGCAGGCATTTAATTCGAATTATTTCTCTTTGCGCCAGTTCATTCCAGTCTTTACTGCCTAATCGAGAGCGAATTAAACCATTTAAATGGTCAAATACACTTGATTTTGGATTTCCTTTTCACCAAAGAAAACGAAAAAAAAAAATTCAGAAAATTCTCGGTAACAGATCTTTGAGTTTTTATTCTCATTTCCTTTTATTCTTATTTCCAGATTTACTTTTTCGTAAATAATTTACGTCGGAATTCCGTCCTGTTCGTTCGCAAATAGCCCCAGCCAACGGAAAAATTGTTCAACATAACAAGGTTTGTCACAAATGATTTGTTTTTTTTTTCCAATTTAATTTTCTTCTATGTCATTTAATTGCCGTTGTCCAGATCATGTTAAAGTGTTAGTATGTATCGAGCTTCACATGAAAACGAAATAAGCTGTCACATAAAATCAAGAAAAGAATTCGAAAAAAAGAACTCGCCGTCATTGAGTGGTTTGTGTTGCAGAGGGCAGAGTATCACATGTTGAAAGCAAAAGCACACGCATGATCTGGTGCGGAGAAAGAGAATTAGTAAAGTAAAGTAAAACTGTTTGTGTTTTTTCCCCTTTCCTATTATTATTACCATTCGATCGGGTTGAGTTTTTGGACTGTTTTCGCTATACACATTTGAGATTTATTTTCGATTTCGGTACATGGATGGAAGATGGTTGATCCGAGAAAAAAAGCCGCGTAATTTCATTGCATGAATAGAAACGCTCTTTTCTCTCTTTTTGCTTCGTTTTCGGTTTTTATTATGCAAAAAGCGAAATTTTTCTTTTGGACAAAAGCTCAAAAACCAAATGAACAACTCTGCCTCTAAATATACCTGGTCACACTCACACTGTATTTGAAACTGAATCTGGTCGAGAAGATATTTCTATGGATATTAGACCAAACAATGGATAGGCAATTTTCAATATTTTACCGATGTGCGTACATGTGGCAATCAACAAAAGAAACAACTTAACATCGAATAGGTAATCCAAAAAAAGCACGTGTATTTTGTTTTTGTGTGTGTGTGTGTGTGTGTTTGTCTGTTGAAACGATTTCGGCTTTGATCTGAGGCACACGATCTTCTTTTGTATTGCGGATCGAACCGTTTTCATTTCGAAATGGTTCGAAATGTTGTTATGGTAAATTTAAATGTGCCAATCACACACGGACAAACAAGCAGTCATTGGATTGCGGGATCATTGCGAGTAAAAAATCGCTCACATCTAAATATCAATAATAATATGTGCAAAGCCGATGGCGGTAACGGTGGCTACGGCATTCTTGCGAAATATCTCGCGCGCCGCACATATTCATTAATTTATCGGTGGACATGAAGAGTTTGATGGCCGGTACATGTATGCAAATGCACCGAATTCTGTCTTGAATTCTTCGGTGTGTGTGTGTGTGTATGTGCTTTTTTGCCGTTTCATCGCTCATTATGGAAATCGAATTTAGTTCAACTCAAGAGATTTTCCAATATTTTCGACGAAACGATCAAGATCTTCAACAACTTGAGCATAAATTCTCAGTCAGGTGAACACATATCGTTTGGTAATAGCCATTCATTATGTATATGCGCCCGAAAGACAAACGATTTTCCACGAATGTGATTTGTGAATAGATTTCCGTTTTTCTCTCTGTTTGTAAATGTGTTACCGATACTAATTTGACCAACAGCTACCCACCTCTTGAGCCGCTTTAATTCCGTTCAGACATTTCATTAGCATCAAAAGCAATTGAAAATTGCTTAAAGTAGGCATGACACAAGAAATAAATACTTTTATTAGCATAAACACATAAATATGGAACTAATGAGAATTGTTTACAGTTCGGTAAAGTTTTATGACCTTTCGAATGGTTTAGCGTATTGACTGGCCAGTGAGTGAGCGACAGAATGACTGCGCCAACTACATAGCGGTTTGAAATGGTGAATAAAGAAAGAATGGATTTTAACATGAACATAAAATTGTCATTTTGTATTAAGCCGCTGCTGAAAGTTGCATGCTTTTGCCCACATTCACACATGTTGGACAACTACATTTGGAATACAACAAGAATAAACAGACGACGAAAAACTCACAGAAACAAACAAACATATACACATAATTACTTACCGACAAACAAATCAAAAAAACGATAAGCGGAAAGCGCGGAAAAGGCCATCCACATCCACACAACAAACCGTGTTGAGCAAATAATTTAACGGCAAAAGACCATGGAAAAATGACCGCGTGCGCTCGTCTATGATTCGTACGCATCTTTTGGCTGATGGGAAGAGTTGCACACATGTGCTAAATGAAATTCTCTCACAGTTCTATTGAAGCAATTGCATGCTTGTTGAGAATATTTCCGATAAACAAACGGCGTTCTGTACGACGAGAGAGAGCACGCGCTCCGGTTCATTTCTTCATTTGTGTTGTCGGCTCCTCCAAAAATTAATCGTTATGCGTTGGTGAATTACAGACTGCGGATTAAATTCATGCATATTTAAACTGTAATCCGTTGAAGTTGTGCATGTAAAGTCTGTGATGCCGAAGCGTCACACAGAGAAATAGAAAACATTATTATGTCATTAAATGGCATTTTGTTTGGTTTTTAACGGTTCTGAACACACACACACACAATCGACATGAGAGATGTAATTTTTAAGCGATTTGTGAATATATTATCTCATATGTAGACAGATTGTTTACAGACCCTCAAAGAGAAAGAGAGAGAGAGAGAGAGAGAGAGAGAGAGAGAGAGAGAGAGAGAGAAAAGAGCCGAGAGAATTTTTGTACAAACGTGTAATTTCCGTTGATGAAAATCGTCGAGAGATAAATACGAGTGGAGAAAAGTCATTCTTAAATAACGAAAAAGGTTCACGCTTTGTCTTTATATTCTCTTTGCACATTTTCACCATTTCGCACCGTACGCGCGCACTCAATGGATAAATATTTGAGCAGCGAAGTGGTGCGCGTGTACGTGATTCGTGCGCTTTTTTGTTTCAATTTTTTTCATTTGGGTGCACCCAAAGCCGCCACATCACACTTTGTGTGGTGTGTATGTGTCTCATGTGTTGGAGCGTATGGCGGCAATAATTGGCACATTATTCACTCTTAGTGCAAATCAGTGCGTTCTTTGAATGGTTAAACATGCCAATTAGATTATTTACCCTCTTTTTGCATACCGGATAATTAATCATACAAACACATGCGCGCGCACCGTACGCGCGCACCCAAATCGGATCGCACACACACTCGATCTATCTGCCATTAAATCATAGGCCTGTCATATTGCAGTGCACACACATCAAGCGTGGCAATCAAACATGCATAGACAGAGACAGAGAGAGAGAGAGAGAGAGAGAGAGAGAGAGAGAGAGAGAGAGAGAGA